AAAAAATACTCTAATTAAAGCACGGCACAATGCAGTTAGAAGGAAAATATTGTGCAAATACCACCACAAAGAACATTTGAAAGAGGGGATTGTTTGCTAGGCAGGGAATTGTGAGGAATGAAGAACAGAATTTCATCTAAACAAAAACAAAAAAATATAAAATGTGTTAAATTGGAGAATGATCATATTGTAGGTATTTTGACATAAACTTAGCATTTCACTTTACAATTTAGCACAACTCACTGTTTATTGATTGAGGTGTATAAACTGGTGGCGATTATGTGAAGCGTGGAGCGTAGGAAAGTAGAGAGTTTGTGTCATTTTACTCACCTTGCTTGGAACACCACAGTCTTATTTAGGCCAAATATTCCTGATAGAAAAGGAAATATGTGCTAAAAAAAAAAAAAAAGCCAGGTGTGAATGATTTGTACAGCTAAGGCCTTGATTTAAAAATTTTGGAAAAACTTTTGAAATTATTTCATATTTATTTTAAAATGATTTGATATTTTTCAATATATTTTTTAAAGGGGCACCTATAGTGGATGGGTATCAAATATTTTGATATTTTCTGTTATATTGATATATGTTTTATATGTTTATATGTTTAATATTTTAATATTTTGAAGGAAAATATTTTTAAAGATTTATTCAATAATATTATATCATTTGAACAGCTTATTCAAAAATTTAAAATCTGGGGCCTAAATTAGTTATCTCAGTAAATCTCAGTGAGTAATGTATGCAAAATCCTTTATAATGCTGAAGGATCTTTGGTAAATTATCTGAACATTCAACATACTGATGAGGAGAGACACGGATAATATGGTAAAGAAGCAATAATGGGAATTACAGTCCAAAAACACAAATAATGGAATTATAGTCCAAAATTAGGACCCAGGTTCCGTGCCATAAATGTAGTTAATGAGTAATAATGATGTAGTTAATTAGTAATAATTAGTAGCTTAAGGTGCATATTTTAAGTATTATGGTGCTTTCTTGATGGTTTTCAACTGAATACATATTTGAAATAAGGACTTTGTCATTATTCTAGAATTATTAAAGGGGCACTGTCACTTGAAAATTTCTATCTATAAATCAGCTTAAAAAAATTCCGCAACATGATTAATATGAATTTAATTGAACCAAGATATAGTAGCTTTAGCTGTAATCACCACTTAAACATCTGTAAGTTGTTGAGCGTATAGGCGGCCATCTTGTAATTGCATCACTATTTTCAAACTTGATACATTCATGACTGATACAAGGAAAAAGACTGCAGACAACATACAAAGTCAGCAGCCAATGCAAGTCTGTGATTGGGAGAGCAGCTGCACTCTTTTGCACTTTACAGATTATTTCGAAATCTTTTTTTTTTTTTTACTTTATTTTATTTATTTAACTTACATTTATTTTTATATCACGTGATACATAATAAGACATTTCAGTAAAAGCCAAGTGGAAACAGGAGAACAGGGATTTTGCACTGATTACAGTGATTAAATCCACAGGGTTGGCTCTGCTGTGATGGAAACCCCTAACCAATGGGGCAGCGAGGCGAAAACATTTTCACCAGATACGGTGATCACAGCGGAATTAAATATTGCACCATAATGCAAGGAACAGAATCTTTCTCAAATGGTGAGAACTATCATGGGTTAAACAGACTTTCTTCAAATAAGTAAAGCACATTAGTGAAATGAAAAACAAGTCAAACATTATGCGATGCCCAAGTCATCCTTGTTTCCATCTCCAGTCTTCTTCCCCCCGTTGGGACAAAAGAGACCAGGTTGTCTGGATCCCATGATACTTGGGAAGTGGGCTGTCAGGTTGTTTCTGTACCTGGTACTGAGAGTCTCAGTGTTTTAAGAAATGAGGGTGCCTTCCTAGTGGGTGTGAGTTTATTAACAGTCCTATTTTTGGTCGCCATCAGGGACCTAGGAGCCCATATCTATATTCCACTCTGGCTGACGACAGCTGGCATGTGACAAAATTAAGAGACTGACGTGTGGACCTCGTGAGGTCTTGGTAGAAAGTAAGTTGGATTCCTCCAAGGAGTATGGTATCTTGCCCTGCAATGCTGACATGATCGTTCCCTTATCTTTGGAGGCAGAGCAGCGGACAATGACATCCCGCATAGCAGTGAGTGGTACCCTGACTGATTTAGGCAAGCGGTATGCTCCATCTAAGTTATGCTTCCTCACTAGACTTGGGGTTAAGATAGATGCAATAAGGCACCTTAGAATGTGTGGTTATTCTTCAGGTGACACAGTGAAATCTGGTATGCCTCTAATTTTTATGTGGTTGCACCGATGATCTGCCATCGATTGATCTGCCATAGTGTTCATTTGCATTGTGGATACCTGGTGGGTGGATTGAATTTGTTGGATGGTGTCCCTCATATTTTAAACAAGCCATTTTAAAGCAAAACAAGAATAATAGGTCGCGCTACAAAAATAGCAAATAGAAAAGGATAAATATAATGTGCTAACATACACTTAAAAACATAAATAAAAATAAATATATAAATAGTAGTCCAAATACTTGGTGTACTTTTTGTAAGTTCCAATGAATGAATGGTAGTCTCAATACTTTGTGTATTTCTCTTACAGGTTCCAGTAGATATATGAAGGTAGCGTGTCCAATAAGGGACTACACTATTGGATCATCTCTGTTTTTCTATTTTCTATGTTTATCATCGAGTCAAGACTCCTTTAATACTAGAGGATCCAGTCCTCTATTGGAAACACTACCTTCATATCTACTGGAACCTGTAAGAGAAATACACAAAGTATTGAGACTACCATTCATTCATTGGAACTTACAAGAAGTTCTTGTTTTGCCATTTCTTCTTTGAGGATTTTAGAGGGAACCTCATATTTATAGGTTGCAGCTCTCTACTTGTCTGTAATTACGCAGCGCTGATCCTTTTTCTACTTGTACAAGCCATTTTAAAGGTCTGCTATGAGCTCCTTTGTGGCACATACCCAGTCTATAACAGCTTGGACATCTCCTTTAACTACTGTTATGTCCACTGCCAGTAGCTTCTGGATATCTTGAAGGAGATTCTGCATATCTTGCTTTGTGGCAGGCGCTGACCCCTCCAAGATCTCAGATGGCGCAAAGAGGGTTGCTATGATCATGGGCTTCAAGAGTGGAACATTTGACACTGTTGACCTTAATGAGGTTGAGATTTCCACGGCAGCCATCTTGGTCTACTCTTGGCGCTAAAGAAGAGTTCCAATATCCCATATTTCAGCAGGTGCACCAGTTGACAGTTTCTGGGAACGGCGCTCCATAGCCAGTTTGCCATCAGTTTAGATGGGTGGGAAATGGACACCCATACAGGGCTCCCAGCCCATGTGGGCACCAGGGAGTTTCTCAAGTCCAAGTCTCTGTCTCTTTGTCTTTTGAGTGTGAAAGAAAGGCATTTAATGGCTTAGGAGGACATCTGAATAAGTACATGTCTACCTCGAAATTCCTGCAGAAAGACAATATTTTCATTGCAGGGTTTAAATGCCTCCAGTGACTGTCACTCAGACAGTCACTAGAGGTGCTTCCTATGGGATAGCAGAGTAAAACTCTGCTATTTCTATCAAATGGTCTCCTATAATTGAAAGCATCTAATTGGTGTAGTGCAGGATTTTGCCGAGCATGCGCACTAGTCTCCCAAATGGATTGACTGATCGCACCCTTAGAGACTTGTGCTGTGAGAGAGAAAAGGTAAGTAAAACGACTTTTTTTTTTTCTACCTGCAGCTGGGGGCCTGTAGCCAAACGGTCACCAGCGAACTTTAATGTTAGGAATGCACATTTGTATTCCTAATGCTATAGTATTCCTTTAAGGTTAGCAACATATTATCCCAGGAATGTACCCTAAATATTATCTTTTTGCTAATACATTGCAGTTCTATACCAAATACCACTATGTTATGAAGTTAATTTTATAACAAGAACTCCACAGCAGCACAGAAAAACAACCAATCAGAAAAAAGCTAGGTACTATCAAACTCCCCTCCCCATGCATCATTTCCTCTATCTTTGCTGCTCTGCAGTCCGTACAGGTCAGAGTACCACTGCCTCCTGCTAATATTAGTTGGGGGCTTTGGGATTGATTTGTTTGTACTCAGCATTTTATGTTTATCTGTCTATGAACTTAATATATTTTTTCTGTAGCTTTATGCCTCATTGTTGTTAAATGTAGTGCATTTGGATTTAGGGGGTCTTGGTAGGCTTTTTCTGCCCTTACTAAATCCTTGCTTTCTTCCCCCTCTGCCTATCTCCCAGAGGCTATATCTCCCTTTTTATATCAGTATATCCTGCTATAGCTCAAACCTCAGAGCACATCATTGCATGACTGGTTTATAGTCGACATATGGCCAGTCGGAACCTTGGACAAAACCCTCCAAATATCTATCCCAATAACACGCTGACACTAGGGTATATGGGTCAAATTGTCCACAGCTTTTAATAAACAAATATAATAATAACGATAATAAAATTAATAATAATAACAATCATAATAATGATAATAATAATTTAACAAATAAACATGGGTCATTGCCCCCATACTCCGCCCTCGCATCCATATCCTTCTTTTAATATAAAAGGCAATGGCCCCAACATAACTAACACATATATATATAACAATTTTCCACCTTACTCCAACATGAACAAATTTAAGTGCCAACCATAAGTAACCACGGCAGGGGTATACCCGGATACCCCTACACCACCAGGTTCTGAGCCACCTCCAGGACTCGAAACCTACCAACCACCAGTGACCACAATTTTCCATGTTCATCACGTTCCTCATGGGGAGCCTATTTCCTCTTCCTCAGCTCCCTATCCTGCCGCTGTGACAAAACGGGATAACCTCCGGCGGTCCCGTGATTTTTCTGCCGCCCCCTGGGGTACTCGTTATAGAGCACGAGTACCCGGCGGACGGATTTTCCTGCACATGCGGCCGCTTCCCGCGGCCATCTCCGTCTCCGGACCGCATGTGTCCGACCGAGTGGAGGAGGGGGCGCTTTGATCGTGGCTCCTCCCCCGGCTGTACATGCCTCTATGGAGGTCTGTTTGCGGTGTGCTTACCGCAATGGAGGTCTGGCTCTCCTGCCAGATTTCTGTAGCAAAATGTTTTTTATAGGCACTTGTACTTTATTAGGTAACTACAGTAAGTGGAAACTTGGTTTATTCACTAAACATTGAGTTTGGTAACTCTTTTACTTGGCTGTCATAAGTTAACAGCTTGGTTTTCAATGTTTATTGAGTGTTTTGATTTTCGGTGCTTGCTTCTCCCTTTGTCTTTAATACATGCAGTAACATGTCACCGTTTTTTACACTATCATGTTACTTACAAACATATAACAGTTTTGCATGTGACCAGATCAGACAGTATATATTTCTGTGGCCCTGCATCGGATTTGACCCAAACCAGTCACCATAGCACCCATTCTTATAATGCTGAAGAAAATAGGTTGGGATGCAGTTTGGGTACTATTTAATCTGTACTACACTGGGATTTTTACAGCATGGCTGCCCCAGTGACCAGTGGCTGCAGGGTGTTTGGGGGACTGCCAGAATCACTTTTTTAGTGCTCCTAGCACACTTTCGCACTACCATGAAGGATTAGTATATCAAGGGGTTGTGCACCTAATTACCCTGAAGATTCTATATATATATTTATATTGTAAAGCGCTGTGGAATTTGATGGCGCTATATAAATAACATGATATAATAATAATATAAAGGGGCTCTACCCACGCAGATTGGTCCCCCTACTGCTGGTGGAACACAACTCCTGGGAGTGTCCTCCTCTGTCTGTGCCCCTTTGATTGGCCTGCTCTGTCTGTGCCCCATTGACTGGCCTGCTCTGTCTGTGCCCCATTGATTGGCCTGCTCTGGCTGCGCCCATTTATTTGGCCGGCTCGGTCTGTGCCCTATCGATAGGACGATGTTAGCCTGTGCCTGAACCCCCTTTTGGCCGCAGGCCTGGGGGAATATTACTGAGGAAAGCCCAGTACACACTATTGACACGGCTGCCATATGCCCTGAGGCACATATATATGATTGGAAGGGTGAAGGCCCTAAACCTCATGCCCTGAGGGGCAAGGCTTCTACGAAGATTCCCGGGCGGGCAGCCACGGTTTGCTCCAGCCTGGCGGTGGCACATCTCCACGGAGAGTTTCGCTCTGATGCACATACAGGGACCAGTGCTCAGACACCAATAGGGGATCACGGTAATCCCTTACCTTTCCCTATCCATTAGCTGCATATCCGGTATCCATTTTGGGTCTGGGTAGTTGTTTCTGCATCATGCTTGGTTCTTGGCCCTTTCAGTCCGGGTTACCTGTTTTTTACTTTCCGGCCCGTTATTTCTCCCAAGGTATGTATTTTCCTTTATCGTATCCTTTGGTTTGTTATTCCTCGGTCTTCTTGTTTTCCCGTATTCTATCGCTCGGGTTGTCGAGAGGCCTGATTGGGCCTCCACCGACTTCCCGGGCTCTTGTGGATCACGGAGAAAGTCTCCAGCGTTTCCCCAGGCTACTGGCGGGATCTGGTTAGATTCCATCACTTTTTTCCAGATGTTACATTCTCTCCGCATCCCCTTTCGGTTGTTAAGAATGGGCACGACCCGAGGTTAAATACTACTCCGTCTACCATCGGTCCGGTTTATTCCCAGTTGAATAAACTAGTGTGATTCAGTTGAATAAATAGGTGTGATTCAGAGAGAGATCTCGTGGTCGGAGAGAGACACCCCTCAGTACCCCAGTCCTACGCTGATATTATGAAGGGTGAACCACCGCATTCGCCCAGCCTGATTCTGATATGGACTCTAGTTTGGATTACAAGAGGGTGCGGCCCTCCATCACCTCAGCTAGAGACTATATTTTTTATTTACACGAGTAGAGCGCAAAGCCCTCTCATAGACTGAACCGGACACTGATTCATTATTAGAGGGCGCGGCCCTCATTCAACCTCAGTCCGATACCGAGATGGATACAGAGGACATGTTTTGAGTGCGACACACTCTCCTAGAGGGAACCAGACACGGATGTCGGTTCTAGTTTTTGTTATTAACGGGTACGGCCCGTTCATGCTATCAGCCAGATGCTGACACGGATTTCGGTTACATTATTAGAGAGTGTGGCTCTCTCATACACTCTTCGCACTATAGTGCCGTCCATTGGTTCATCACACAGGCTTGTACCTGTACAGGACAACGATGACTGCATAGAAGGACGTTCCTCCTGCATTTAATTCAGTATGGTGGTGCGTACCACATAGCGAATTACCTGATGCTTCAGCTCTGGTACAGTGGTATAGTACCTCACCAGTATGCACGGGAGACGATGCCTCATAATGACTGGGCAAGGGGAGAGAACCCCTCCATCTACAACCGTGCTACCGATTTCGTTATAGAGGGCTGCCTGATCGTGCAGGGTATACATGTTTTAGACTCTATTCCTCTATTTCACCTCCTAGAATAGATCTGCTGGATCCGATCCACTGTACCCCACGCGACAACTACTCACATGGGTATTACTGTGGGAGATTCCCCGCTTATTTACACACACCCCGGACACTTTATGGGAGATCGGTTACATTATTAGAGAGTGTGGCTCTCTCATACACTCTTCGCACTATGGTGCCGTCCATTGGTTCATCACACAGGCTTGTACCTGTACAGGACAACGATGACTGCATAGAAGGACGTCCCTCCTGCATTCAATTCAGTATGGTGGTGCGTACCACATAGCGAATTACCTGTTGCTTCAGCTCTGGTACAGTGGTATAGTACCTCACCAGTATGCACGGGAGACGATGCCTCATAATGACTGGACAAGGGGAGAGAACCCCTCCATCTACAACCGTGCTACCGATTTCATTATAGAGGGCTGCCTGATCGTGCAGGGTATACATGTTGTGAAGGATTTTTCATGTATTTGCCTGTGGGCCCTCAGTTAAACCTTCTCCCTTCTGTTTAAATGCCTGTATCCGTTCGGTTCAATATGTATGTACCACTTTAAGAACCAAGGGTATGTGTGTGTAATGCATTGCAGAACATTTTTAAAAAGTTGACAGTTGGCAGTTAATTCCTGGAGCCGAGAATAAAGTTCAGTTGACTCCCTGAACGGTGTTTCGTCTGGTTACTGGGGGATTTGGGATATTACCTTCTATACCAGCGGAGATCTGGGGACTTAATATTGCAGTCCCGTTACACATGTTTTAGACTCTATTCCTCTATTTCACCTCCTAGAATGGATCTGCTGGATCCGATCCACTGTACCCCACGCGACAACTACTCACAGAGGTATTACTGGGGGAGATTCCCTGCTTATTTACACACACCCCGGAGACTTTATGGGACAGTATAAGGGCTGTTTGATATGACCATCTTGGGTTCAACTCCCAGGATTGTCCCATTTTGTTGGTGACCCTATACCATTCCTATTGGATGTAATCCTGGAGACGGTACGGCTAACAGACGAGCCTCAGTTATTCCAAGAGTGCAGATTTTGGTATAATCTGCACTATATCAAACAAGCAATAGCACCCTGTTTAGGTTATGCAGACCATTGCAAACAAACTGCGCAGACAGTTTTTCCCATGTCAAGGTGACATGAGATCCTGAGGCCTTCATAGAGCAAACATGCCTTGCTCGGGTAACAAGACTGGGGAAGGCCCACAACTCGGTCTGCAGGTACACCGTACGCATGGATCGCATGGTCCTCGGTCGACTAGGGTTCACTGGTCATGAACAATCTTGGGATAAGATGACAGGATGGCCTCTACTCCTCTAAGAACATATCTGGAGAACATGATTCGGATATGGAGGTCCCTCCTTCTATACTCTAAACCCCTCACGGGAACTGTCTTGATTTTGGGTTTTTGCTAACCCACCTATTCAACTACCATCAAGGAGACCTACTTGAACTCTATGAAGCAACCTTGTGTGTCCCCAGCTCCTACACGGACGTCACAAGTCAGGACGTAACCTACCACTGGAGTTCTGCTCAGGATGTGTAACAGTCTCAGATATGGATGCCGACGCTCTTAAATTGGACAACACCTGCTTCGGACGGTTGAAGCTAGACCCTTATTTTTTCGTTTATATCTGCTCTTTTAAGTCACCTGTCATGAGTGAAAGGACTTTATGTCTTGCCTGCGTGTTAGAGAACACTATGAATTTGCGGGCTCCAGGCTAAGAAGGGAGGTATTCCTCTATAGGGATACCTTGACCTTGGTTCTCAAATTCGCATTCCTGGGTCCCTTGGCCTAGGGCCTACTCTTGGAGATAAGTGTACAGGGACCTAAAGGTCTCACCATATTATACCATATCTTGTATATGGCGTGCAGACCAGGAGCTCCTACACAAAATTTGACAGGTCGGGCATGGAACAGGATCGTACAAATGAGTAGTCACTTCATTTCATTCTCTCACTACAGCACGTGAGGATTCTTTGTTATGAGTCCCACTTACCATTCGATCCGGATCACTTATCACTCTTCGACGATATACCTGGATGGGAATCTCAACCCTTGTTTACGTTCCCCTTCTTTTGGATATTCCCGTGATTCACAATCCCCCAGAGTAGTCGACCACCGTTTCACTAAATAAGTTCAGTTTTGGGACCCTGATTGGACGTTCTTTGGGAGTTCTTTCTTTACTGCAGTCGCGGGTTACACAGTCCTTTTGGAGTACTGGAATCACTTAGGATACGGCTAGTTTTGGCCGCACTCCTGCCTGCATAATAAATTCATTCTCGGATGAGACCACTCACCGGGTAGGTCATGAGGGAACGTAAAGACCCTACTCGGTTCTGTTGTGGTAGACTTAGACGCATTACTTGAGGTTGGACATTTGCCTGCAGGGCCACACCACCTGGTGACCCTGGCATGATCGGAGTAGTCATCTTCCACATCAAGAGTTGAGACCTGGTGGCAGTTTCTTCTCGCTGCCCTAATTCCGCAAATGCCCTTCGGCATTTTACAACTACAGGACAATGGCTAATAGGTCAGCTTGGCAGCTCAGGCATCGGCGGCTAGGAAACAGGGCGCAACCCCACGTACAATGGATCTAACAGTGGATGGTGTTTGTCTGTATTTTGGGGTACCTAGACAGCTGGCATCTTCATCAATCTGTCTACTGTCACTTCTCACAGTTGGAAGGTCCATTTAGGATTGCTCTAGTATCTCCTGGAATAGATACCAGTGAAACAAACAACGTTGGATTTGTTGGCTGAGCGTTAAAACAGAAAATACGAAGCCTCCTGTCATGTTATAAAATTGTAGATTATGCTAGCTTTAGTGTACCTATAATCTTAATTTTATTAATGACAGGAGGCGAGTATTTCCCGCCCATTCTTATCCCTCCCTTGTTTAATTTTAATAGCTTGGGTTCATCAGGTACGTATGCAACTCTACTTGTTGTCTCTGCTACCTGTCACTTGTTCTTATGTCTGTTTTTCATAAGTAGAGTTGGGATATCTTCATATTAAGGTAATTTTGGTTGCTACATTGGGTACCTACATGTTTGTTAAGGGTACATTTAATTAGCTAACCAACCTGTTCGATTCTGTTTTTTTCTCTCGTTTCAGTTTACTGTCCATCAGCGCTATCTAGTTTGGCTGTTCTTCTCGGATGGCGGACATGGTTGAATTGATCGTATCTAGGACTTTGTTTCTTCCCCATTATATTCTATGCCTTTTGTTCTGTTTTGTCGCCGCTTGAAAGAGGAAATGATGTATGGGGAGGGGAGTTTGCTAGTACCTAACTTTTTTCTGATTGGTTGTTTTTCTGTGCTGCTGTGGAGTTCTAGTAAAGAGAGACTTAAGCAAATATTCGCCTCCTGTCATTAAAGCTAGCATATTCTACAATTGCATGTACAAATTTAATCTGTTCCCCAATGGGATTATTCACAGGTTAGAAAACCTGTTTGGTTTTTTTTGTTTGTTTTTATCAAGTCTTTACTGAGTGTCATGAGTACAAAGTATTCAAACATTCCGAATGAAAATGTGACATATTCAAAATTGTGCAACACTATAGTTTGCTGTATGCAATGCTAGAAAAACAATCTGATGGGGAATAGAGGAGAAAAAATGGGCATTGGGGAGAAGGAGAGGCTGCCGAATGAGGAAATCAAAAATGTGTCAGTATACACACACTGACCCATTGCAACCAGTAACCAAATAATAGTTACATTGAACGATCACCTCTGCATAGTAAATACTGCTAAATATGGACTACGTAAGAACCATTGAACATTGGGTTAGTAGTTGAAAGAAGGGGTTAGATAGTCTCTTGTGCTAAAGATGAAGCAAAATATATTAGTAACTTGTTTTTCCACTTGTGGGGTCAATGATTTACGTAGTGTAGCACGGGGAGGAGGGCGATGAAAACAAAGGAACACACAAAATAAATCACAACTCACTTTATTATTTAATAGTTTAGCCTGGATGACTTCATCAATTGTGTTTAGTCAAACACGTTGTTTGACATCACTCAAAAAACTGGTCGTCCATCAGCCTTCGTGACATGTGGCTCCGCCAATCCTTATGCTATATTTACCATGTCCGTTTTGTCTTTCAACAAGCCTTAAGGCAAAGCCCTGACCACTCATTTCTATTTTTTGTTAGTTGTCTAAGAAAGTAAACATTGGCAAATTGAAGAAAATGCAAAGAATGCGGGAAAAAAAAACCGTAGACGCACCCTGAATACACAGGAGATCATTGTGTCAAGATGATGACAAAATATAAATTTTAACTAAAACATGTAAAGGTCGAGCTAGTCTTTGGAGATTCTTTTTTCTAATTGTATTTCAATTGAGTTATAATATACGTTACACAAAAAAATGTAATGTCATTTCAATATCTGGGCTGAGCAACTGAATTCTTCAATTGTTGGATTACATCACTAATCATCTTATGGGTTGGATAAGGATGATGGGACTTGGTGTTACCACCAAGACCTGAATGATAGCTATAGGTAATGGGTCTGAATAGGCAGGAAAATTGCTTTTGTCAGTATATGTGCTAATATGTTTCTGCAACAATAAAGTGATTGTTGCCCAATAAAAATGTAATATATATCAAATTTATCCTGTATTCCCAACAGATGGAAATTATTTTAACTAAGCTAAAGACACACATACATATACACAGACACAGATACACACACTGACACACGTACAGATACACTGACACACAAATTAAGACACTGACACACCTACACATATACTGACACATATACAGATATACAGATACAAACACTGACATACATGCAGATGCACAGACAAACAGATACACACACTGACACACATACTTCTACACAGGCACACAAATATAAACACTGGCACATCTAAAGATTCACAGACACACTTATGCACACATTGATACACATACAGATACACAGATGCACACACTGACACACATACAGTTACACAGTCACACAAATTAAGAAGCTGACAAACCTACACACACTGACACACAGATACAGAGATACAAACACTGATACACATGTAAATACACAGACACACAAATACAGACACTGATACACCTACAGATACACAGACACACATATAGACACACTGCTACACATACAGATACACAGACACACAGATACAAACACTGACATGCATGCAGATACACAGATGCACACACTGACACAAATACAGTTACACAGACATACAGATACACAGACACACAAATTAAGACGCTGACACTACTACACATATACTGACACACATGCAGATACACAGACACACAGATTCACACACTGACACAGTTGCACAGATGCACACACTGACACACATACTGATACACAGTCACACAAATACAGACACACATATACACACAGATACACACACTGACACACAGATGCAAACACTGACACACATACAGATACACAGACACAGATTCAAACACTGACACACATACAGATTCACAGACAAATATACACACACACTAACCCACAGATACACACACTGCCACACATACTGATACACAGTCACACAAATACAGACACAGACACACAAATACACACCGATGCACACACTGACACACATACAGTTACACTGACACACAGATACACACACTGACACACAGATGCACACACTGACACACATACAGATACACAGACACAGATTCAAACACTGACACACATACAGATACACAGACAAACATACACACACACTAACACACAGATACACACACTGCCACACACAGAGATACACAGACACAGATTTAAACACTGGCACACACAGATATTTAGCTAAGCTAAATAAAAATGCAGCTATCATTAACATTTGGATAGTGCAATGCATAGACAAACATATTTGTTAAGCATTCTATTGCAATCTAAACTGTTGAACTGATTTAATAACAATCTGCACAAAGTATATTTCTTCATGAAAGAGACATTTTAATGAGGAGTAGATAAAGCAATGCGTCAGAATCCTCCCGAAGCTGGGAAAACATTTGAGGGTATTTCCAACCTAACAAACAATCGTGGCTGATTTTAAAAACTGATTCAATGTAGATTTTCTAAACTTTGGATTCACACCCAGAACAATGCTTCATGAAACTGTACAATTTGGTGCACACTGTATAATTAATTTTAGTGTATCTTCTGGTAGATCAGCAAATGATAAAATGCTATTTAAAAATTATCAGTATAAAAAAAATCTAAAAAAAACCCCCAAAATAAAATAATTATTACATTTTAACCTCAAACTAATTGTTTTATTTCTTAAAGGGACCCAAAGGCACCAGAGCACTTCATCTTGTTGAAGTAGTCTGAGTGCAGTGTCCCTGTCCTCTTAACCCTGGAATTAAAATTTTGCGTTTCCAGAGAAATTGCAATGTTTATATTAATGATGCTTTGATGCCTTTCATGAGGACGTCCAGCGTGTTGCAATCGCCCATAGCAAAGCATTGAATCAATGCTTTTCTGAGGAGAGGCCTAATGTGAGCGCTGCATTCGCCACGCATGAGCATTCGGTCCCCCTGGATTGCTCAAGGCGGAGGAGGACGTGCCCAAACCAGCGTCGAAGTGTTTAAAGGTTTTTAAAAATGCTTTACTTGGCAGTATAATGCATAAGGACACTTTTGTATTCCTAATGCTATGGTGTTTGTTTCATGTTTTTATGTACTGGCCAAGATGCAAAGATTAATAAAATGTTAAGAACATCCTTATATCTGACACTACATATAAATATCAGCCTTGTTACAATATTCAATTATCTACCCCATAATGCATCTGGTTGTCCAGCTAATCTTTTTTATCTCCCAACCAGTTGGTGTAACTGAAGAGGTGCACTAATAAACTGGCACTCCAGGAAAACATCTCACTGGCTATTTTGCTTGCCGGGCATGCTTGTGGAGTGAATTATCCTTTTCAAGGGGATCGGCAGTGGAGATGGTTTTATGATGAAAGCAGAGGCGTACCTAGGGTATTGGGAACCAATGGTGGAAATGTATTGTAGAAATGTTATTTGTGTCACTCTGAACTGCACCTAACTCCCCTTTTGTTAGATACATTACACATGCTCACAATTATATTCACATACATTCATACAAGCATACACACATTCACACACCCATATTCATATGTGCACGTGGGCATATACACACACATATTTACACTCACATTTATACACACACACATACATTCAAATGTGCAGAAACACACATTCATACTCACTAACATATTTGATTTTTATAGAAAAGATTATCTTTGGGGTCCAGTGGTTTGCTGATGGGATCACTCTGCTCCCGAGGTTCTGCTGGCGCTGGGGGATGTAGCCTCCTGGCATTTGTCGATGTTTGCAGATATATAGACACATAGCTAGATAAGATAATACAGCCTGAACATTATATATTTTATTTACTGAAGTATTTGGATAGACTGGGCAGGCAAGTGGCACATGAGATTCAATACAGGGGATATGATAGCACTGCTAATTCAAACAAGGCAATATTTAGCTTCTTTCTATGCTATAAACCACAAACTATATTTCAAAACGATGCTGACATTTCTCAGTGTAATATGTCAGATCAATAAATCGCACAGTTACTTCTCCAGAATAAATTGCAACGTATTATTAGTATATAGAAGTTTACTTGCAAATAATAACATGGTCAACACAAACCTGTTCCACTTAATAATTAGATGTTTGCACAAAACCAAAATAACAAAAAAAAATTAAAATGTGCCTGGGTGAGAGACACGGGCGATATAGCGCCCCACAGACAAATCAACCACAGTCTGGGTAGCTCCATCCCCCCACGCCCCGTTTGGACTGGTGGGGGTCATCCCAGTCTACTACAGAATTGACCAGCCCTTGGTTCTACTTGACTGGCCTCAGATAATCAAACATTTTGGCTCATGCTACGCACCTACAATGGCGGCTAAGGTCTCCAAGAGCGCTACTGGGGGCAGCGCCGAACACGTGCAGCCTCCTTGTGGGTTCCTGGCCCACTTTGACCAAGTGTGTGCTGCATTTTAAAACTGCTTACAGGAGAGGCATGAGGTAGAAACTAAAGCGGGGAGGCCTTGCAGATCTGCGGGGAGGCAGCAGATATGCACCTCACCCCATGCTGCCTTGGTGGGAACCTGTAGAAATTACCTGCCTAGGCCCTATCTGAGACTAGAAAGAGAGGTAGACCTAGTTCAAATGTAAAGAACAGACCTCCTGAGCGACTATACATGCAAACTAAGCTC